AGGTTATGAGTGAGGTGGCATCTATGGTCGGGGTCCCAATAACTACGGACAAGATCACTCAAGAGAGGACTAACCATGCCTACGCTAGAGTGTTGATTGAGGTGGATGTTTCAAAGCCACCCCCGTTATCATTTCCCATACGACTACATTCCCGAAAGGTATTCAAACAAAGTGTGGTTTATGAGACTTCCTAACTTTTGCTTTCATTGCAAAGAATTTGGGCACCACCCATTTATTTGTAAAAAGCTAGCAAAACAGGGTGCTGTGGAGAGCGTTGATAATGGAAAAGTTGTTGTTGAAGGAGAAGAACCTAAGAATAAATTGGAAAGCATAGAGGAAGAGAAAAGTGAGAAAGCAAAGGAGGAGGCCCAAACCATAGTGCTAGAAAACGCGCACACTGAACAGAAAGTATTAGAGGAGATTGAAGTTAACCCGGACCAGATGGAAGAACCACATTCTGTGCAGGTGATACCTCAACCTAAGGAATTTGTTACTCAGTAACTTTTCCTCGACGACTACTCATTGCTAACCAAAAGTCAATCAAATACGCTTCAGGGTGACAAAGACTATTTCATCTACGCGGTCTACTCAAACTACGAATCACCTCACAAGCTAATGACTGGACTCAAACGTTACAAGTCATTACATCCGGAGGCAAAGATGTACCCCCCTTATCTTCAAAGGGCCATCCAGTTTCACAATAAACACAACTGGCTGCTCTCAACAATTGTCAGTGTGCCTACAAATTTTAATTGTTAAATCTCCATTCTGAGCTTTGTATTTGAACTTTTCATTCTGTACTCTGGTTTTTGTTATTTTCTTTTTTAATAAAATTGGAAAGTGTTCCCCAGCGCTTTCCCCACATACTGTGGTAACTTCGGGATTAAAAAAAAAAAGAAATGTGGTGATGATAGTGCCACAATACCCATTATTTGATATACTCCATAAAGGAGTCATATGGGTCTCCATAAGGGAAGTGAACTCATTAGATTTACCAATTCAAGTTTATATTAGATATGCAAAAAGGTGAAAAAGTGACGTGAGTATTCCCAAAAGATATGAGATTAAAATTAATGAAAGATTAAAACTCCTTTTGTCTTTATATACTAACCCTTTTTGAATTGCATGCATATTTAGGAAATAAATTTCTTTATTTTGACTTCTTGAAATGTCCATTTTACTAAGGATTTGTTGAGGTTTGTTCCTTCAACCCTTGGACCCAACACGTAAGCCCAAAGATTTCGAGTGGAGTGAATGTATGAATATCTAGCCCAACAACTATCAGATGGATCAGGAAACAAAGGAAGTAGCAGGCAATGTAAATAGGTATTATTAACTTCGTAATAACTCCCCTAAGTACAATCTACTTGCTAAAAAGGGCACGTCGGCCGTTCGTCTTACAAGGCAGTAGGAATGCTGCGAGCAAGAATACAATAGCTAGATGCTAAGAATAGAAAGTTGCCAACCCTTTACAATGAAATAAATGCTACTATTTATACCCGCCAATGGGCAGTTAGTCCTGATGATGTGGAGGATTGTTAGTGGCTGTGGTCCAACCACCAAATCTCCAGCATTAAATGCGCTTCCCGCCAGAATCTCGGTTCCCCGCCTAATTCCTGACCAAGATCGTCTGGTAGAACCGGGGGCCGTTCGTCTGCGGCCCTTTGTAGGACGTAACAATCTTCTGGGCCTGGGCCATCTACGGAGATGGGCCTCGGCTGACGACGTTCGTCATGGATGTGCTAACCGACCCTCGGCCGGGACCTTGTGCTGTTATCCCGGAGATAGACATTCGTCCTCATTCCTTCAGGCCAGGGCCACCCGTGGGCTGGGCGACGTACGTCGGTTTGGGGGTAATTGGGCCGAACCCCTGCTTGGGGCCATTTACCCAACACAAGTCCCCCACTTCTGATGTTCCAAGCGTGCGTGGGACATAAGGAAGTATGCTGTGCCTCCTGGAGGATGCCCGTCTTCCGTACTTGCCCACGGGGAAACGGACGTACCTGATCGAAGGGCACCCCGAGTTGGGCGACCGCGGGTGAATCGAGGTGGCGGCTGGCGGCGAAACGGTGCGACTCCCGATGGGAAGTCATCATTACGCGTATCGCTTCCCCAGGTTGGATTCCCGCCAGGGTACGCTCCTCGCCACGTGTCGCTTCTTCATTCGTCCCCCCGGGGGTGCCTCCACTATAAATACCAGAAATCCCCTGATGTCTAGGGTTTCCGATTTCTGGCTTTTGCTTTCGAGTTCTCTTGCCGCTCTTCGGGTTTTTCATCACAGCTTCCCAAGTCCATCTTCAAGTTTTTTTAAGGTAATTATTCCTCTTCATCCTCGCCCTTTCTTTTAGTGATGACTTCGATGGAGATCTCTTCAAGTTCGAGTTCTGGTTCTTCGGGCTCCGGCTCTGATTCTTCCTCCAATTCTGGCTCCCGTTCCTCCGGAAAAACCAGCATTTCCGGCAACCCAGGTTCGGCGTCCACCGTAGGGACTATCCACGCCGACAGGGAGCAAGGCGCCGACATATCCGAAGGTGCCATTGAGGCAGTGCCTCTGAATGAACGTGCGGCCGGGTATGATTCCGCGGATGAGGCTCAATCTGGCTCTGATCTGGAGGTGCACGATTTGGGTATCCCCATGGACGTGCAGAGGCACATCTGCAAGATTAAGAGTGTTCTAGAGCATAGGCAATCCCTCTCTAGCGTCGCCATGAACAAGATTGCTTCCTTCTTCCCCCATCCGTTCGTCTTTAGCCATAGCGGGGCTGAACATGCCATGCGGCGACGGCCGGGGATGATCATCCTGCATGTGGACTCCGTAGAGGTCGGTCTGCGGTTTCCCCTCCACCCTTTTTACGTGGAGTTCTTCAACTGCTACCAGGCGGTCCCGGCACAGTTCATGCCCAACTCTTATAGGTTTATCTCCGCATTCCTCGTGCGCTGCTCGTCCGCGGAAGCCGATATATCCCTGGATCTGTTTCACTACTTTTACCGGGTCACCCCGCAGAATTCCGACGGTTATCTGAGTGTGGCCGCTCGTCCGAAGAGGAAGCTGTTCGAGCACTATCCTTCCTCCATCCATGACTGGAAAAATAGGCTCTTCTTCCTTAGATATGATGGTCCTCCCCTCCCAATCCGCTGGAACGGTTACCCCCCGAAGATTGAGTCGCCGATGCTGACGGACGAGCTGGAGGCGGAAGTGAACAAAGTCCTGGAAGGCGGCATTCGCCCCATAGGAGAATACCTGACCCCCGAGGCACTCTCTGAAGCAGGCATAGGTACCGCCCGTGTTCCTGGACGCTCGTCTCGGGGCACGGGCGGTCCTGTCCTCTAAGGTGGGTGTTCCTCCCTATCCCTGTTCTTCTTTTCACATTCTTGTATTTCTCTCTTGCAGGTCTTCCTCTTACCGCCGACCAAATGGACAACGCCGAGTGCCTGAGGAACAGGAAGGCGAAGATGGTTGCGGCCAAAGCGGCCAGAGAAGCCGCCGCCCATGGTGCCGGATCATCGGCCTTTGACGCCGCCCGTCGGACTGCAGATGGTGAGCAGCATCTGATTGCCACCCTTCTGAATGAGGGGGCCATACCCCATCATGCTGAATCTGCTCTCCCCCCGCCGGTCGTCACAACGAAGGTGGTTCCCAAGAAGGGGGGCGAGAGGGCCCCAGAGAAGAAGCCGAAGAGGGGGCGAGACTGCTCTTCCTCCGGCCCCGTTGTTGAAGATGCCAACGGTCTCTCCCTGAGCCGGCCGGCGGAGGAGCTTTGGAGGGAGCTTGGGGCCAAGGCCGGCCTCGAACTGGCCCCCCCGGTCGTCTTCTGAAGCGACCAGCGCCGCTCTGGCAGCGGCCATCCAGGTATTGTCGCGATTCGACTCATCTTGTCTCCCTGACGCCCGTCGTTTCGTCATTTAACTTCTGTTCATCCCATTTCTTACAGTCAGGGCTGTTGGTGCTGCAAGCCGAGGCTGCCAGGGAGGCCGCCCTGCAGGAGGCAAGGAGCAAGGCTGATGCCGCCATATTGAAGGCTCGGGAGGTCGCCCGTCGGGCAGAAGAAGAGGCTGCCTCAGCCAGGGAGGAGCTTCGGTCCCTTCGTGCTGACACTGGCGCCCAACTGGCCTGTCTGGAGAAGGCCGGCTTCAAGCTTATGCCGGTGCTTCCGGCCCCCAAAGGTGCTACCCCGGAATGGTGCGTCGATACCTCCGGTTACCGGAATACTGGCGAGTTCATGGACTCGGCCAAAGATTTCTGCGCTGGGGCCTTTGGAGACGTGTTCTCTCATGCCCTGGAGAAGGTCCCGGCGAAGGATCGTCTGAAATACGGCGTGCGGCTAATGGGAAGCTCCCCCTTATCGCGCCAATTCCTTTATGATTCTGCCGATAGCGCCTTCGCCGGCGGCTATAACGAAGGGGTCAAAGCCATTCTCCCCATCTTTGAGAAGCTTCTGGGCCCTGACGTCAACCCGGCCGACCATACGGAAGAGGACCTGCTGATCGAAGCCCTGGGGAAAATAAGGCGCGATAGGCGCCGAGCGGCGGCCATAGCCATGGGGGATGTCCCGGAACCCCCAACCCCTGAGCCCGAGCCTCAGGTGGAAGAGCACACTCATGCCGGGAGCCGGCCATCGTCCCCCCACATGTGCTGATTTATATTTTAGTCTAGCCTTCCTTCTGACTGTAGCGTGTAGACTTGTACTTTCCAGCCGATAGTGCTGAAGAATAAAAATTCATGTTTTGCCAAAGTTCGTCTTTACCCAACAGGATTAAATTTTATTGTAATGTACACTGCTTTGACACTGTTTGAGAGTGATTATCACTCTATTTTGCATTGTGTTATCATTATTAGTTAAGAGTAATATGGTAAATTGATATAATTTTTTTTGCGAAAGAGTAAAAGATGACTTTATTTGAGATGAAAATGAAAAGTTTATTTAGAAATAGTATATTTATAGTATATAATAACGGCAAAAGTTGAGGGTGAGAGTACAGTCGAGTTTGATCATTTTTGGCAAGAATATTAGATGTAATGAAATTTATTGAATCTAAAATTGGCAACTGTCTAATTAACGTTGGCCCAAAAGTAGAAAAGAACTGTTTATGACTGTATTATTGGTATTTATATATATAAACTAATTGATGACATAAGACCACTTGACTTGGTAGTTGACTAGTTGACTGAGGGAAGACTAGTGGAACGTAACCCCAGATGGCCAGATCGATACAAGACTGCATGAATCAAATTAAAACAATGTAACTACCATACATACGTATATGTAATACTCCGTAATTAAATACCACGAGTCCACGACAAGGACATAAGTAACCTCTAGCAAATTAAAGTACAGAATATGATCGACAGTTGCAAGAAATCGATGATTCCTAAGATAAACGAATTGAACGCTAAATAATCCAGCCAGGCGAAGACACCTTCAAATTAAATCTGCATGCCATTAATTATTAATTACGCTAAGCTTCTACAACAGCTTCTTATTCACCACTTCATACTATACGTACGTACTAATAGTATACTCCGATCCGTATATATCAAATCATCTTCGATCACTTCCATTCATCACTCATCAGTGACGAGCTGGAGGAGAAAGGCTGCCAGCATCATCGCCGCCGCCAGCTGCTACAGGCGGGTTGGGTACCTCCACGCCCGGGTTAGGGAGGAGAGTGTCATCTCCGCCGGGAACATAGCCGGAGCCGCCTCCTATAATGCCATCGAAGGGGTTGATGGCGCCAGTTCCGCCGCCACTCTTGCCGGTGATGGGGTTGTAGTTGAACGGGTCCACTATCTCACCCTTGGGCGGGATGACTACGCGGCCGAAGCCGGGAATCAAGACGGTTCCATCGTAACCGTGGAGAAACTCAGGATGGAGTTTTTTGTCCACATTCTTAGACGCCTCGTTGGGGATGCCACGGCCGGCCGCCATTGCAGGGACACTTAAAGAGGACAGAACGTTAATGGTGAAGAGAATCAAAAGAAAAGTGCAAAGGAAACGACCAGCTTCTGCCATTGATGCTAGCTAGCTCTTGGTTGAATTTGATGGAGGGAATGAGTGGGTTGAAGTAAAGTTTGGGCTTCAGTATTTATAGGGTCAAAAGAAGGGCATGTAAAAGGCCCGGTTACAGGCCATTGGCTCTGTTCCCAATAATACTTGATGATTTGTACGGCGCCGCAGTGGATCAACACAAATTAAATAGCCACTATGCACCCCCAAAAATTTAAGAACCCTGTTTGGTAGCATATTCGATCACATACCCCGTAAAATAAAATACTAGTCAAAAATAACCAAGTGAATTTTTTTTTTTTGCGATCTGATGAATTTAACCAAGTGAATTTAATCATTCACAATTTACTACTCCCAAAAATTTAAGAACTCGAGTACCAAAATCTGTTCATTTAGCTGATTCTTCTGATTTAAGAAAAAAAAATTAAAATATACTTCCTCCTCCCCTAAATAAACTTCCAACTTTCCTTTTTCGTTCGTCCCAATTAAAACTTTCACTTTCCTTTTTTGGCCAGAATTTGTGGTTTACAGCAATTCTTACACAATACTCACTATCTTAAACTCCGCGCCAAACCTATTTGGAAGATATAATAGGGACGGAGGGAGTATTTTATTAAAGAAAAATTCACATAAATAATCCGAATTATTAAGAGTCTTCTAATATTAATCTCAAATATGCGTAACTCTAGAATAATCCGAAATTGATAGACAGTCTTCCCTAGTTGATCCAGGTCACCTGCAACTTATACAACCGGTAAAAGTTTTTAAAAGAAAAACGAAAAAGGTTGGGCATTGGGCTGTTCATCTTCGTCCACCCTAATTACAGGCAGCTTGTTGCTTCCTTCGTTCAAGATATGTTTTGCTTTATTGTTAAGCTTCGGGATTCCATCTTAAAAAGTCTGGATCGTGCCGTCATTCATTTTATTCGTCGATTCGTCATTCTCATTTTCTTTTATAATCATGTCGTCAATTTTTCATAAGGGGCCGAGACCATGGATCGATTAGACTCTGATATCATGTTAATATCCGGGATTTCATCCTAAAAAGTCAACCTGATAGGAGGAGTAGCTCATATCTTAATATAGCATTGTATTCCTTCACATGTTTCCGGTGTGAGAATTTAACATTTATGTTTTCTTTTCTTTCCTCCTCCACCCATATGTAAATCTCCTTCTCACCTCGATTTCATTCTCAAATATGCTCCTAGATTTCGTACTTCATTCTTTCAATTTCATATTTGAAATATTTGATTTGGTCAATCCAAACTCTAATATATACGACACAGTTCATTGATGACCACTTTGTCACGGTGTGTCAAAATAAATTCAATATTAGCACTAATACGTAGTATAGTGAAGTAGAGTTCGTATCCACAGGGAAAAGAATAATTATCTTTTTACATAAACAAGTAATTAAAAAGGGGGAGGGGGGGTTGATTGAGTGATTTAATTAAATTAAACACGAAAATGAACGACTTATATGAGATTTAATTCAAAGATAAAAGGGACTTGGCATTGCTACTTTCCACTTGTTGATATATTTTAGTCGATCATTGTTATATCTATAACTTATCCCCTCTCGAATACTCAATCGAGGAGTACATCCAATTCATGGAGGGTAGTTATTAACAACGACCGTTCATTAATAACCCTTACTATTAGTCAAGTATAGAACACCGCCATATACTGACTTGATAGTAGCATTTAATCTCTTAACTCCTTGATGAAATCAATTGAGATTGATAACCTCAACACACCGGTTTTGGTTTAACTAACAAAATTAATCCCTCTTAACTTTATTGACCACGACCAGTTAATACTTGTGAAACCATCAACGATTAACCATCGGTTCGTTGATCGATTCTAGTAATAATTAAAATATGAAACAAAACTAGTTTATCCTTTAAGTAATGTTCAAAATATTAGTATGAAATATGAACAGGAATTAATTAATACTCAAGGAAGAATATTAAAGAAGATGAATCCTACTATAGTTAATATCGATCAAGATGTTAACTAATTGTCATCTTAGTAACACTCCCCATATTAACATAGAGGAAGAAATAACTATCACTATAACTAATGTCAAAATGTTAACTAATTGTCATCTTAGTAACACTCCCCAACATTGATATAGAAATAGTATTTAAAGGAAGAATTAATATTCAAGGAAAGAAGTTAAGAAAATAATTCACAACTTTAATAATCAACAAGCTTCAAGAGCAACACCAAGAAATGAAAGTTTAGCTCCTCATTTGGAGACTAAACATGCTATAAAAATATAAAAGAAATACTATTCTAAACTAAGTTTAAGAGTATGGAAGAAGGGGTTATTTTATTGTGAAGGAAAAGGGGTGTATTTTTAGGTGTTTGGAGGTGGCAGGCCGGGTTGTGTACCCGATCGGGTATATAGGGTACCCGATCGGGTATTTTAGGCAGTTTCCCGGAAAATCACTGTTCTAGACATACCCGGTCGGGTATGAGCCAAAAAGTCCAAATCCTGCACGTTCTTTTGTCTCTCCAGATTCTGATTTTGACACCCGAATCAACTCAATACCCGATCGGGTATTGCCTATACTTGACCGGGTATATGAAATATTTTTTCAATCTTCTTTTTATCTTGTCTCCTTGCACTTTCCTTGATCTTTTGGGGTCCAAACTTGATCCTTTGGATGATCTTGACCTGTTTTAAGCTCGGAATAATCCTAATCTAAACAAATTACATCTATCTAAGAAAATTAACTAATTACACCAAAAGTGTGTAATTTTCCAAACAACAACAAATAAAACTAGTTAAAATAGAAATAATACATAGTAAAAATACAACTCTATCAACTCCTCCATGCTTAGTTTCTTTACTCGTCCTCGAGTAAAGTCAATGTTTCATCAACACTTTAAACAATCATGAACAAGCAAAAGACAACCAAGTAGTGTTTAAAATGTGTTTTACAAAGTGAAATGATTCCACTTATGCACTCACTACACACTTCATGATATTGGGTTTACTTGACTCCTATGCTTTCCATGTTCCTCTTCATCATTGTATCACCACATCCCTGTAAAAATAATTTCTCTCATTTCTTTCATTTTGCCTAGGATCTTTTTTTATTTATTTTTTTTATTTATCCTAGCCTCTCATTTTTTTTCTTTCTCCCCTACTCACTCATTTTTTCTTTTGCTTTTATTGCTTAGATTGTCCATTTGGGTTTTCAACGTAACTAGCTTTTTTTATGTTTTTTTCTGTTTTTTAAAACAAGAATAAAGAGTATGAATGTGAGTATTCCATGAAACTCTCCCCCTAAGCTAGTCAAAGCACTGTCTCTAGTGCTCATCTTCAAGACGTCATAGAAAAGGAGAATTCGGACTTGGTGTAGGTGGAGTTAGGGAATTCAGATTTTGGATTAGTGGTGGGTTTTGTTTGTATAGGAATGAAAAATGTGGAGAGGATAAGAAGAATTTGGGTTTGGTTTGTTGATTTGGTGGATGTATGAAGAAGATATGAAAGTGTGAAATTGTAACTATGGAGGGTTTGGGGTGTTGGGTTCGAATGGGGTGATACGATTTTTTTTTTAAAAGTGCAAAAATAAAATAAAATAAGTAAACATACCTTGCATGGGTTGCCTCCCAAGAAGCGTCTCGTTTAACGTCGCGGCACGACGCCATCATTGTGTTCAATCGTTCAAACTCGGATCGGGATAATTTATCTTCTTCACACTTTATTTCACTCCTAGGACTTCCATAGGAATGCTCAATTTATCGACTCTTCACTTTGGAAATCTTTCCAGGATCAAATATCCAGATTTTCATTGATTCATGTGGTGGGAGGAAGGGGAAGAAATTATCGTTTAGCAGGGTCAATGAAAAGTTTTTCGATCCCTCAATTTTGAAGAAGATTTCAGAAATGTCATTGTCCTTTTCAAGATTATGTGTTTCTCTTAAAACTTCCAGAGATGATAGAGATACCTCAAAGGATGACAATGACAAAAATTTGAATTTGAAGCTCTGCTTATTCTCTTCTTTGACCAGTTGGAGCTCCGTGTCTTTTTCTTCTTTTACGTCTTCTAGATTCTGGATCTCCTTTTGCATTTCCTTTTCATTTGTCAATGTGATTGCGAAAGTTTGCTGTTTAGGATTACATTCTATTTGAGAAGGAAGTTTTTCCGAATCCCTTGCTTCAAGCCTACTCACAGCTCCGGCTATTTGAATCATTTGAGTTTCCAAGTTTGAAATGCAAGACTTGGTCTCATTTTTGAATTGCACCATGTTGTTCTGCATGGTGGTCATGTTGGTAGCAATAGCCCGAACCATATCCTCTGTAGACATGTTAGAGTTGGAGAACAGATCATACCTCATGTGAGGTACATCCCTTTCGTAACCAACATCATCAATTTGTTCAAGGTATTCATCTTGGAGCTTTGGGCAGAAATCCGTAAGATGCCTGTGAGACATGCAAATGTTGCATGTCTTGGCATCTTGAGCTTTTGAGCTTAAGATAAATTCCTTTATTAGAGAAGTCAAGAAGGAAATTTGACTCTCTAAGGATGAAGTGTTGGTATCCATATACTCATAACTCATGTAAGCTTAGAAAATAGAAGAGTAAGATATTTTTTTTTATATTTTCTTTTTATTTTTATTTTTGTTTTTGATTTTTATGAGATAAAATAAAACGAAAAATAATTGTCTTTCCCCGGCAACGGTGCCAAATTTGACGAGCACTTTGTCACGGTGTGTCAAAATAAATTCAATACTAGCACTAATACGTAGTATAGTGAAGTAGAGTTCGTATCCACGGGGAAAGGAATAATTATTTTTTTACATAAACAAGTAATTAAAAGGGGGGGTTTGATTGAGTGATTTAATTAAATTAAATACGAAGATGAACGACTTATATGAGATTTAATTCAAAGATAAAAGGGACTTGGCATTGCTACTTTTCACTTGTTGATATATTTTAGTCAATCATTGTTATATCTATAACTTATCCCCTCTCGAATACTCAATCGAGGAGTATATCCAATTCATGGAGGGTAGTTATTAACAACGACCGTTCATTAATAACCCTTACTATTAGTCAAGTATAGAACACCGCCATATACCGACTTGA